CCTTTATCACATTTGCCATTTTACACCCGTTTGTAGTGATATGTTGGAGACTGGTTAATGGTATGCTTAGTTCCTCCTTATATTCCTTTATAACTCATGAAAACAGCCCATCAGATTACAGTGATTTGTTTGGTTTTGATTTACTTATTTGTCCATGAACCATGAAACTAATGATTTTATTCTTGCTCTAGTTATTTTCGTCCTAACATATATAATCATTGATTCCTGGAATTTCACTAGTATCTAACTTTATAAAAACAGATGAAGCAAGTATTAAAGATAGTATATATTTCTTTGTCACTGACAGCAGGCTGAACTGAGTAATTTTTAAATGAGCCTATCTTGTCCTTAATGTTATTCCTATATATCTGGTTACCTGGAGAGGGTTTCGGGAATCAACGTCCCCGCGGCCCGGTCTATGACCAGGCCTTGTGGTGGATCAGGGTCTGATTAACCAGGCTGTAACTGCTGGCCGCACGTAAACCAACGTACCAACCACAGGCCGGTTGATCAGGTATTGACTTTAGGTGCCTGTCCAGCGCCTTCTTGAAGTCAGAGGTATATTGGCAATCCCTCTTATGTATGCTGGGAGGCAGTTGAACAGTCTTGGTCCTCTGACACTTATTGTGTTGTCTCTCAGTGTACTCTTGGCGCCCGTGCTTCTCATTGGGGTAATGTTGCATCTCCTGTCGAGTCTTCTGCAGTCGTAGGGATTAATTTTCGTGTGTAGGTTTGGTACTAATCCCTCTAGGATTTTCCAACTGTATATTATCAGGTATCTTTGTCGCCTGCGTTCCAGAGAATAAAAATCAAGGGACTTCAACCACTCCAAGTAATTTAGGTGCCTTATTGTACTTACGTGTACCGTGAAAGTTCTTCGTGCACTCTCCAGGTCTGCAGTTTCGCCTGCCATGAAGGGGGCAGTTAGTGTACAGCAGTATTCCAACAGCAGTATTCCAGCCTACAGAGAACAAGCAATTTGAATAGAATCATCATGGGCTTGTCGTCCCCTAGTTTTAAAGGTTCTCATTATCCATCCTATCATTTTATTAGCAGATGAGGTAGATACATTGTTGTGGTGTTTGAAGGTGAGATGTACCTGATAAAAACTTTTGAACTAGACTTCGATTCCAGTACAACTTTAATTCTATAATCTGTTATGGCTTTTCTTATTTCTTGTGTCTTTTATCAGGTGTATCTCGCCTGTTCTGATACACATGAAGAAGTGGAAGGTAGAAGGGGTAGGGGTAGGGGAGAGGTTGGGGAAGGGGTAGGGGTAGGGGAGGGGTTGGGGAAGGGGTAGGGTTGGGGTAGGGGTTGGGGTAGGGTAGAGGTCGTTCAAAGAACGGTTAGAGGGAGGGGAAAAAAAAAAGATTTGAGTTTTAGGGGTTGAGCATCCAGCAAGCTTGTGTCAGCGTGTTAGACGGTAGCGATTAGAGACAAGCGGCTCTTAATGGACGTGTTGCTAGAATATGAACAAGGAAACATTTATGAAGGGATTCAGGGAAAACCGGCTAGCCGGATTTGAAAGGCAGTGTTTACAGTGTAAAGGAGGGTAAGTACGGTGTAGCCGATGGGTAAACTGAGTATGATGTCAACACACTTCTGGAAAGACGGAAATATATATATATATATATATATATATATATATAATATATATATATATATATATATATATATTTCATTATTTTTTTTTATTATTACACTGGCCGATTCCCACCAAGGCAGGGTGGCCCGAAAAAGAAAAACTTTCACCATCATTCACTCCATCACTGTCTTGCCAGAAGGGTGCTTTACACTACAGTTTTTAAACTGCAACATTAACACCCCTCTTTCAGAGTGCAGGCACTGTACTTCCCATCTCCAGGACTCAAGTCCGGCCTGCCGGTTTCCCTGAACCCCTTCATAAATGTTACTTTGCTCACACTCCAACAGCACGTCAAGTATTAAAACCATTTGTCTCCATTCACTCCTATCAAACACGCTCATGCATACCTGCTGGAAGTCCAAGCCCCTCGGACACAGAACCTCCTTTACCCCCTCTCTCCAACCTTTCCTAGGCCGACCCCTACCCCGCCTTCCTTCCACTACAGACTGATACACTCTTGAAGTCATTCTGTTTCGCTCCATTCTCTCTACATGTCCGAACCACCTCAACAACCCTTCCTCAGCCCTCTGGACAACAGTTTTGGTAATCCCGCACCTCCTCCTAACTTCCAAACTACGAATTCTCTGCATTATATTCACACCACACATTGCCCTCAGACATGACATCTCCACTGCCTCCAGCCTTCTCCTCGCTGCAACATTCATCACCCATGCTTCACACCCATATAAGAGCGTTGGTAAAACTATACTCTCATACATTCCCCTCTTTGCCTCCAAGGACAAAGTTCTTTGTCTCCACAGACTCCTAAGTGCACCACTCACTCTTTTTCCCTCATCAATTCTATGATTCACCTCATCTTTCATAGACCCATCCGCTGACACGTCCACTCCC